TTTCTTTTGTCGACTTAGACGGTTATTGCTTATGACAACAGATATATCGCTACAATATGTAAATTTATAAAATACTTATTGTTCGACAAAAAATATTTCCTCAGGCTTGTGAAAAACGTTTTGATTTTGGTCGAATGGCTCAGAAGATACATCATCTGGCGAAGTAGAAGGAGTAGAACAGGTCGGGTAGTACAATTGACTTGGATTTGGTCTGAAAACAGAGTTCCCTGAGCGTTCCTGCTGAAGCAAAATCTTCTGTAGCTCAACTATTGTATTTATGCGGAATTGCATGAAGTTTTCGTCGCTCAACTTGTTAACATCCGGCATCAAGCTTAAAAAAAACATTCGCCGACCGTCATCCCGTCCCTCATCACGTCCCTTCCTATTCTCCCTTGATTTTACTATTTCCATTACCGCCTCAGCAATATCGCCATCACCCTCTTTTTTTCTTTTTCTTGCCTTAACACCACTTTCTACTCTTTGTGACGTTTCCGGAATCGGGTCATAAGAATTTTCCTCCGTAAATACCTCTACCTCTTCGCTTTCAGTAAAGAGGTCCACATCGCTGTATAAAACACTGCTTTCATTTCCGGCCGAATGCTTTACAGGCCTTATATATTGTAGCACAAATTGTAGGGAGTCATGGAGATAGTACGGTTTTTTGGCTTTCGCGCCAGAACCACTTGGCGGTGCTTTTAGGCTGCGAACAAAATTGTTACGAATGTTTCGCCATTTCTCTTTGCACTCACTAACTGTAAAATAAATAAAAAAAATATATTAATAAAATTAGTTTTCTTCAATTAAAAAAAAAATACTTTGAAATAAAAATTTTCATTTATTTTCAGATATTTAGCTACTGGATGTACCTTCGCTGCACTTGCGCTGCACTTTAAAAGGGGCGAGCGGACAATCGGTGCGATTGTTGAAGAAACAACCAAGGCAGTGTGGGATGTTTTAAAAGGTGACTATATGAAAATGCCCGATCACCAAGGATGGAAAAGAATTGCGGACCGTTTTTACGAGTTGTGGCAGCTACCTAATTGTTTAGGTGCGATCGACGGCAAGCATATTCGGATAGAACAATTTCCGAATTCTGGATCAGCAAATTATAATTATAAAAACTTTCATTCGATTATATTGCTTGGTTGTTGCGATGCGGATGGGCTTTTTACATCGGTGGAGTGTGGGTTTGCAGGTCGTAATAGCGATGGAGGAGTTTTTCGCATTTCCGAATTCCAACATTGGTTGGAAAGAACGTGTGATATACCGTCGCCCAAAGAATTACCTCTCGATGAGAGTGGAATAAAATTTCCGTACTATTATGTTGCAGACGCCGCGTTTCCACTGAGAAAGAACATTATGCGACCATATCCGGAACGAAACTTGGACAACAGAAAACGCATATTTAACTATAGACTGAGTCGAGCGCGAAAAAACATCGAGTGTACTTTTGGTATGATGACACAAAAATTTCGAATTTTTATGTCACCTATTCGCTGCAAAAAATATTCGACCATCATATCAATTGTACATTGTGCTACAGTTCTACATAATTATATACGCCAGAAGGACGGTGTGTTATATTCCAGACAGCTATTCAATAGTGCCAACACGCGGCCTTCAAACGCACCAATGCGTTCGGATGTTGTGGCCACAGAAAATTCATCTCCACAAATTTTAAGAGACTATCTGTCAAACTACTTTTTGTCGCCACATGCAGCTCTGCCATGGCAATGGAAATATTGCGTTTAATAAATGTAATAAGTGCAATTTTTAAGCTACTAAGCTACTTTTATAAAAAAAAATAAATAAACAAAAGACATGTCGAATTTTCTAAAATGAAATAAACACACTTTGATTCTTTTACGAAATTTCGGAAGAAAATCGGTAAAGCAATGAAAATAATGCTGCTATGTGAAGAATTTCTTGCAGAATTTTTTTTATTTTTCGTACAGAAATTTCTTTACGAGTTCGTGTCAACCACCTCTATAATTTTCTTTGAAGATTCGTAAAAAAATCATTACAGAAATGAGATACTCCTAAAGAATTCGTTGTAAGTAAGCTATAAATTTAAGGTTTTCATAATATTCAATTATATTTCAAAATCCAATTTTTAATGTAACATTTGCATATAAAATACATATAAAAAGTAAGTAATGTGATTGAGACTACTAGTTGGTAGATGCAGAATGAATTTGCACTTTAATAATTTTTGTAATAAGAGTTTCTGATCGTAATAAATGGGTTTTTTTCAGTTTGATTGGTTTTTTGTCAGATTTTGGTTGGTTATTTTTTTAATAAGTGGCAACCGTGGTTTATGTTTATGAAAAGGAGGGAATTTTCTTCAAAAATATTTTCGAAAGAAAGCTTTCTTAATCCTCTCTGATTTGATACCCATATTAAAAATTTCAAAACTTAGATGCAACTTTGCAGAATTGTTATAAATTTTGCACAAAGTCTGAAACATGCATTTATATGGTTTTTGTTAGATATTGAGCTATACTTTATAACAAAATAATAAATATTAAATAACCAAAAAAAAAATAGGCAACATTTATTAAAATGTATCTATGTATATATATGTATATGGGCAAATCTAAAAAATAGGTAACCTTTGTGTTATTTAGCTTTATTTTCATTCATTATTTAGCTTCATTTTCATATTTTATCTCAGTGATCTAAATATTTATTCCTCGTCTAACTTTTGAAGCACTTGATGAAAATGAATTACACTTATATTTATCGATGTAGTAAGAGATTGCGAATATAATCATATATAAAACATAGGTGTGCCCACAAATTAAAAACAATAAACTTTTTGTTTTGAAAGTGTACCTGTTTTTTAGATTTGCCCATATGCAAATTAATTTAAATATGTTATATTTTATTTCTGGCATGAAAAAGAGCTTCTCATAAAAATACAATCGCCGTTCGGAGTCGGCGTAAAACTGTAGGGCCCTCCGCTGTGTGTGACAACATCAAGGCGCATGCCACAAAGCGTATGAGAAGCTCGGCCAAACACTAACATATGTGTAAGCGCCAATCTATTATTATTATTATTATTTTATTTCTGCTCTCATTTCGGTAAAGCACATGTCAGTACTCTAGCTAAATGCTTCCAAACGTATGCGTCAAGAGAACTTTAGTTTTATAAACACGAGTTTCGAAGCTCTTCAAATAAATAAAAATGAGTTTGAAAGTATACAAACCCCACCCATTAGAAAGATCACAATCCAAACTTTAAGAAAAGGCATCCTTTCCCCCTCTGACTCCTTCTCAAACCACCGAAATCCAATTTCAAAATGGAGTTAAATTAGCATTTCGACGTAGAAAATGTGAACTCGGGTTATGCCATCCACAGTATTTTTGCGCAGAACACCTTCCACATTGGAGGCCCTAGGCCGCGTTGAGAAAAAATAACCCTCATCAGTCCAACTCCGACTGCTACTAATGCATATTTCAGAAGCTGGTCTGAAAACAATTTTATTGGCGAAATTGGACTGCCCATCGGAGTGATTGCATAAAAGCTAAAACCAAATTTTCATTTATAGATAGCAACGCAATCTCAATAGAGTTGTTCACTTGCAACGCCACACACTATCACTTGAACCCACTCTACCCACGCCCAATGCTTTTCCCGTCGTTGTCCGATATGCGACCTGATAGTATATTCGTGCCCAGGAAAACCTGGTAGGTGCTTACGGTAACCGGCAAGTTTATTAATTTAATATATAAAGAAGATAAGGACTCACCTGGCCATAGCATTTGTTGAGACACCTCATTCCAAGCCCTTTCCGTAACATCCTTCCTCGAATACTCTTGAAGAGTGTTATTGTATAAACACGGGTACGTTTCTATTAATTCAACAAATTTTATGGTTGAATCGCTCATTTTTTTTAATTTTTCACAAAATATAAGAAATTTTCCTGAAACCACACCAATTTGAAACGCAAGCAAAACGATTAGTGAACGACATTGCTGCACGTAATCGTTTTTGCTTTTTCCTTGATTAGTCGATAGCTAGCCGATAACGACAGGTGTGCAGACCGCCATTAAAAAACATTTGCTCGGCTCAGAATTGGAAGGCGAGACGATAACGAAACTATGATTACACGACAAATGTGCAGATAGCCTTATTCTTTGGCTTTCATGGCCAACACGCGCCAATCCGACTCATAGCGATAGTTCATTTAGAATAGTATTTCGTTCCAGTGCATCTTTCTTCTCAACAATCGACATCAAATGCTGCGCAGCTTCAGCTACTGACATAAAACGAGGTGGCTGATACTCCTTGATGTGCAGCAAGCATAGCGTGTGCATATTATGCAGCCTATTTAATTTAATTTTGTCATAAAAACTATCTAGTTTCCATGTCTCATCCCAGTATGGTATCGACACAGTTTCGCCAAATTTATAAAGCTGTGGACTAGGGCTGATGATACCCGGGTACCCGGTTACCCGGGTATTACCCGGGTGCCCGGGTACCCGGGTACCCGATTACCCGGGGCTTTTATTACCCGGGTAGTCGGGTATTACCCGATTTGCCCGGGTACCCGGGTAATATACATATGTTGGTGCCGGTTAAACGAAAACACCCGGGTAATTTTTCAGTGAGAAAATTTTTTTTTATAATTATTTTTTTATGTCTAGAGTGTACGCGACTATGTACACCTAACCGCTTGCCTGAGTAGACGGAGACAAGAAAAGTAAATTAAAACATTAGTTTCTGTACTTAAATTCAAACTTCTAATTTTTGTAAATGCATATACATACATGCATGTGTACATATGTATGTATGTATGTATATTTTAAAGAATATTAAATATTAATATTTTAAAACAGGGACTGAGAATGAAATGTATGATCGAAACTAAATGCCATTGTCGTAGTTTTGTTCCCAAGAACGCGTCAAAACCAAAACCAAAATGAGAACAAAACTGACGAGAACGTTCTCATTGGGAATTATATAAGAACTAAACCCTGTGGTAGGCCACTGGTACAAAAAGTAAGGTGACAAAACCTTATGCTATTCATTCACCTAAAGATTTTGTACTTTTATTGTATCAGCTTGTTCAAATTATAGTTTCTTTTCACATAATATTTAAAGCTTTTAAAATCACAATTATTTAATGAAGTTTCCTTAATACGAGAAGTAGGTTGATGAACGTATTGTTGTGAAATAATTGTGGAAGAAATTTTAAAATTTTTTTCATTCCAACACAAAAATTACCTCAACTGTCGGTCATCGTTTAGATTCGCAGGTGGGTGTGTCTCAATAATTTTATTTGTTCCCGATCCGATATCTGTACGTGCATTACCAACTTCGTAAATATTAATATTTTAGACATGCCTAAAACAAGCTGGGTTTGGAAGTACGCTTGTGTGATGAATGACGGATTTGTCAAGAGCAATGTATGTGTTGTATATTATAATATTTCCCCATATGGTATGGAAGATTCTTATAGATTTTCCCTATGTACGTTCGTTTGCGTTATATAATCGTAAATGCGTTTAATTTTCACCTCTCCAGATTTTTTCGGGTGCCCGGGTACCCGGGTAATTACCATACTGCCCGGGTACCCGGTCTACCCGGGTCTACCCGGGTAATAAAATACCCGGGTACCCGGGCTACCCGGGTAATTCAATACCCGGGTACCCGGGCTACCCGGGTAATTCAATACCCGGGTAGGGCTTCACCCGCTACCCGGGTACCCGGGTAGCTCATTACCCGGGTGAAATCATCAGCCCTACTGTGGACCACAACACCCAATAGCATTCATAATGGACGGTCGGCCTAAGAAGAAAAACGTGTTACATAGTCGTTAGTGGCATAGGACAAGCAAGAAATACTTACCACTTCATTGAATTTTT